CACACACACACACACACACACACACACACACACACACACACGGGCAAAAACACAATAGTCTGCATTTCACTTTCTGAGGCAGTTGATAAAAAAACAGGACTGATTGAAAAATGTGTGAAAGGCAAATTGTTGGAACTCTTCATCTTTTTGTACCACAGATGGAAAAAACTAGAGCAATATCACAAAACATTTTGCAGGAGTTAGGTTAGAGAAACAACTGGTTGCACTCATTGCTGTGTTGGTACTTTAGTTGAACTGGTTCATCAGGTTTTATGTAAAACTGAAGCTGCACACTGTGTTAAATAGTGTATTTCTGCTGGAACAATGTGGAATATGTGTGTGCTCGCAGCTCCATACTGCAGGTACAAACCTGTTACCCTGAAACTGTCGAGCTAAAAATACATTTGTAATTTATCTGTCCCGTGAAAGACACACCAAGTTCCTATACAAAATCTTAGTTGTCAATTTTCCTCTTTGTACCATTGACTGAAACCTGCAAAAAGGGTCACTCAATGTGAAGGAATGCCTCAAACGTCTTCCATGTGGGGACACAGTGCTCCTGATCATTAACGTCTGATAAGGCTGTCTGTGCTGCTTTAAAAGGACTGTTTATCACACGGTTTCAGTATTTGCAGCAGAGTGGAGAGAGAGAAAAGCCCGACTGTTGCAACAAGTGACGTTCAGCTTGTGAAACGAGCCCATTCTGTTTATAACACGGCAACTTGAAGCAGTAAACAGGCTTCTGCGTGAAGTCAAAACAAAGCTGAAGGAGCATTAGGGAAACACGTGGCTCTGTAAAATTTGTCTGCCTGAAGCTTTTTTTGTGTCATCGGGATGGTTCAAAGCAAACTGCAAGTCAATAACATTTAACAAAGGGAGGAAAAGAACAGTTAGTCATATGTATCTTTAGCTCATAAATAGCTATGCTAACTAGAAAATGTCTAACTTGGTCAAAACCAGCCCCTTTGCTTCGTACAGAAGGTCTGGAACCTTGGATATTGAGAAGCGATTGCTTGCTGGAGGTGTGGACTCTGTTGAAGTTTAAAACAATTGGATGTGTGTGTGCGTGCGTGTGTGTGTGTGTGTGTGTGTGTGTGTGTGTGTG